ACCTTTAAACATCGCTACGATCCCCTGTTTCCCTCCCCCTTATTTTTCCCCCCCTGGCCAGCACCTTGGCGCTGCCTGTCAAAATGTTTTTAGCATTTGTTCTGCCTCTGCTGGCGATCAGGTGCCCCCAAAGCCCGTGGTATGAGGGGCACTAATCTTTAAAAAGGTTAATTTATTCATAGAGATTTTGACAGAGATTTATGGGCCAGCCAGCATGCCTGGCATATCTTCCCAGAGGGCGAAGAGCGAACGGAAGGCTGCGCTCCTGAGATGGAGAGAGAGAGAGAGAGAGAGAGAGGAAGAGAGGAAGAGAGAGAGAGAGAGAGAGAGAGAGAGAGAGAGAGAAGATAAATACTGTAGATCAGGGGTCTTCAAACTTGACAGCTTTAAGACCTGTGGATTTAATCTCCCAGAATTCCTCCTCCAGTCATGTTAGCTCGGGAATTCTGGGAGTTGAAGTCCACAAGTCTCAAAGTTGCCAAGGTTGGATATCCCTTCCCTAAGCAAGTCAAAGATTACTTGTGAAAACTCATGGCACCCTTGGGGCAGTGCACTCTCCCGCATTTATATACGCCACCAGGCTTGGCTCCAGCCTCCTCATACTCCCGACGCTCTCGCAGAATGTACCCCTCGGCTGGGGCGTGCCACTTGAGTCTGGCACCACACCATTTCAAACATTTTGTCCTTCAGGTAGCACTTACTGTAGCGCGGAGAAGGCGAGCGGCTGTGGCGGCTGTACTGTCGCTCCCACTCTTCCCGCTCCTTCTCCCGCCGTTCCCGCTCCCTGCAGAGAAGGAAAAAAAGGGGGATATCAGCAGGGATGAGGCGCCCCGCCACCCCAACCCAAAGGACGAGAAAATCCAAGGGATTACTTCATCCGGATCTTCCGAGCCATGGCACGCAACTCATCCTCTCGTTCCTGGAAGGGAGGAGAAGGAAGTCCAGTCAGCCCAAGGATGAAATCTACCTGGGGCATCTTCATAGTATCAGCCTTGGAAGCCATATTTTACTTGGAAGCTTCGAGGCTGACACATTTAGTGCCTGGGAATTTGGGAGGGGGGATTTCATAGAGAGCTCAAAGATTTAGACTCAACAACATTCTTTCTCAAGAGTCAAGGACATGTTGCCCTGCACCTGGAGAGGAGCGTCTGGAGGAAGGTCTCCAGTTGGGATAGCTATTTGATTGGGCTGTGTGATGGACCGGTGGGGGCAGGGGATGGATCTTTGATTTTTCTTTTGGGAAGGGATAACCCGGATACTCTCAGATTCGGGTTTTCCCAGATGTGCCAATATGACAACTGTCAGTTTTGGAAGCCATGAGACCAGATGCTTCCACACTGCCACATTCTTGAGCCTGGGAAAATGGGAGGGGGGCATTTCTTGGAGTGTATGTGGTTAGACATAACAACCTTCTTCTTCTAAGTCAAGGTCATGTTATCTCTGCACCTGGGTCATGTTATCTCTGCACGTTGGGACGGATGGGGATTGGGATATGTAATGGGTGCAGGGGGTGGATTTGTAGTTTTTACTTATTGCAAGGAAGCCTGGAACTTTCAGATTCGGGATTCCCCAGTTGTGCCAGTTTATCCAAATAAACAGAACTTTTGAGAAGATGCCTGTCTCGGGAGTTATTGGTTGGAATGGAGGCTTTCTGGAACATTGACAACAAACTCTAATAAATTGGGACTTTGAAGAACTGCTTGTCTCGGGGTTTACTGGTTTGGAGTTGGGTTAGTTGGAACGTCGACACATAGCAACCAACAGCGGTGCTTTCTACAGGCAGCCCTCGACTCGTGGCCTCTTACTGAGCATTTACAATGGACCTAACTCAGCTGCTGCCCAGGGCTTCCTGCTTACCTGTCTTTCGTGTTCCTGTTGCATCATCTTCTCCTGGGCTGCTTTCTTGTCTGCTTTAACTGAAGAGGCAGAGCAGAACAGTGAGTTTTGGGGGGGTAGGGTGGGGGGAGGAGAAAAGAGGGAAAGGGAGAGGAGTCCCCTGGACCAGATCGGTCCCAGCCGCTGCCCTGCGCCCACCCCGAAGGTGCTTACATTGCCGGTTAAGCGCCCTCTGCATTCGGAGCTTGAGTTTCTCCTGCGGAGTCAGCTTGGGCTATAAGCAGAAGCAAACAGAAAGGTATTAAAAAGTTTGCCCCAGGCCTCAGCTCCTTCGTCCGTTCGGGGAAGGCATAGGTGGAGAAAGACAAGGGTCTCCTATAAATAAAGTATTATTGTAATTGGGTGGGGGGGAAAGAGATGTGAACAACAAGACAGCCATTCACTGTTATATATACAAGAATGAAAAGCCTGTATTTTGAGTTCCCAGGGACTGCCAGCTACTTGGCTCTGCCCAAAATGTTACTGTGTGTCCCAAATCCTATCTTCCCTGCTCAAAGGACCCACAAAGAACCAACCAAAGTCTTATGTGAAAAGAAAGACTAGGGGTGACACGATAGCAGTCTTCTTTGTCAATATTTCTATGGTCTTTTTAGAGTTGCCAACAGAAAGGGAGGGGCGAGCAGTGCAGCAGCTTGCAAAACCGAAAGTGCATTCCACAAATGTTTTCAAAGATAGTAACTAGGCGACCGAAGTTTCTGCCAGGCAAAATTCTAACTGGAGAGCATGATTGATGCCTCTTGGCTATGGAGGTGTCCCATTGGAGAATATGAATTACGATACACCCAGGGGGTGGTGAGGTAAAACCAGGGTCAAGGGTGACAATGAATTTACATGTCTCAGTCGGCTACACCCAGTGCAGGCAGTGCAGGACATGTTAACTCCCAATAAATCCTTTTTAAGGTTTGGAAGTTTGGCTCGATACTCATGATTTAAATGGGGGTAACTGCCGGAATCCTGACACTTCCAATATCTCAGGGGCTGCCCCTAAAGAAGAGGGAGTCAAGCTATTCTCCAAAGCACCCGAAGGCAGGACAAGAAGCAACGGGTGGAAACTAATCAAGGAGAAAAGCAACCTGGAACTAAGGAAAAAAAAATTTGACAGTGAGAACAATTAAGCAGTGGAACAAATTGCCTTTGGAAGTTGTGGTTGCCCCCATCACCAGAGGCTTTTCAGAAGAGACTGGAGAAGCCATTTGTCTGAAATGGTATAGGGTCTCCTGTGAGAGCAGGGGGTTGGACTAGATGACCGCCAAAGTCCCTTCCAACTTTATCACTGTTACTAGAGACCTTGAAGGGATTCTTTTTTTTTAAAGACAGCTTATTTCAGGGATATAAAAAGAAGCAACAGCACAGGGTGAGCAACTTCAGAACTCAAAAACGCAAAAGTTCACTAAATGATCAGACAAAAGGCTCCCACCGGACACCCAAACACAATAACTACATATACACAACAGTACTGACTCAAGAGTTCATTTCCAAGCCATAACTGTGTTGCAAAAGATTTGTTTATTTAAAAAATTCATTACGGTTACAATATGCTAATAGCAAACACGCAGTTTTTCTGCTGTTTTAAAATGCCGGTGCAATATTTTTTTTTTCTTTGATACAGATCGGCTTGTGAGGTGTGACATAAAAACAGATTATATCTGGGGCCATTTAAATGTATAAATTGTAGTTGGAGTCAGTCATCCCAGCCTTTTTGTGGAAAAAAAGCTGAAAACTATATTGATCTAGTGGTTAAGGCACCAAGTTTGAAAGCAGGAAACAGTGAAACACTCTTAGGCACGAAAGCTGGGTAGGTAACTTTAAGCCAGGGGTGTCCAACCTTGGCCACTTTAAGACTTGTGGACTTCAACTCCCAGAATTCCTCAGCCAGCTTTGCTGGCTGAGGAA